CAGGTTTGGGTAAATGTAGTGCCTTGGTGTGAAAATGTTGAGTATCACAAACCCACAAAACCAAAATGATTCAAAATGATTTGATTAGAATCCAAATTAGATGCAAGTCATACTTTGAGATTCTAATTTTGATTTTAACACAATTTTTGCACTTCTTTTTCTTTCTTATTTTAACTTTGCTTTAAAGGGTTCATATTGCACAGTGTTCTGATCTATATTATAATGTTGTTTCTTTGTCGCAAACATACCTGGAGTTTTTGTGGAGTGTTTTGTTTCATTCACACAAGTTTAACACACAAACTTTGCATATTTAGGCTGAGTTCTTCTCTCAAACTGAAAACAATGTGTTCCACTTTGTGATGTCATGTGGTAATACGAAGTGCAACAATGTGTGTTTAAACTCCACATATCTTCACTAGAATCATTTGGATCATTTCAGCCCTGGAATTGCCCCTAATGTAAGTTAAAAGGACCTGTTCATTTGAACACTACCACTTCATGACATCACAAGGTGGAAAAGAGCTTTTTGAGCTTTGAAGATGTACATGGCTTGACTTCTAACTAATAAAAATACTCATTGTGGCTGGAGAAAGTATTAACCTTCAATCCAATGAGCACATCCACACTCATGATAAAAATATAAATGAATATATTATTTAATGTTGTTACTACTAAATTATTTTTTGATGATCCAACACATGTATATGTTAATATGATCTATTTAAAATATATTTGTTTATTTACCATAAAATACTTCAATGAAAAAGATGACGTCAGATATTTGTTATGGTCAGCAATTCATTTTTGAGTCTAGTACAGGACTTCTAATAAAGTAAAATTCACAATGTTTTGGCTTCAGGTTAAAATATTGTTAAGTCAAGTTGAGTCAAAACACAAATTTGGGTTAACACACAGAATTATTGTAAGTATTAGTTATCTTAATAAAGCAAAACGTAAAGAATAAAAAACAGTTTATAAAGAATGATCCAGGCTTAGTAACTCTAATGAATACACTAACTCCTACTCAATTAAGCAGCTACTAAGCCTGAATCACTCTTAATAAACTATTTGAACATTATAAATTAACTTTTGCTGTATAGTTATAATCTGTGACATCAGTGGATCATTATGTTATCATTTGGACATTTTAAAGTAATCTAAAATGAAAACCGAAGTCTGCTAACTTTGCTGCCCCTTGGGAGTTGACGATGTTGTAAACACAATCACGACAAAGAGCGGCAAAATTGTCGGCACCTTTTATATATAGCTGCAGATCACCTCTGATTATTTTTCATTTCTACCAAAATGACTATGTGACGCTGCCGAATCCTACACATAACAAAACAGACGAAGTAAATAAAGAGCAGTATCGGAAATTGAACGGTGAAGTGGCATCTTGAGAAAAAACAGTTAAAGATAGCGCAAACATGCACAAATCACTACAATAAGTTACTAAGGTAAATGAAAAACGGAAACAGCTATGACAGATTTTGCATAATAGATCTGCTTTAAGTCTTATTAAAAAAATAGGAATACTCAAATTTGCTACACACAAAAAGCAATAGCAATGTAGACAAATGCACAAACTAACACAGCATATTCTAGAAGCATCAAAATACATACAGTATATAGTGCAACATTTCAAAGTAAGGCCCAGATCAGACAGTTAGAAAGATAGAGTTCCGTGGATATTATTATGTCATATAGAATGCCATAGTAATATCCCGTCTAAATGAATGGGCAGCTCTTAAAGCATGTGTAGGAGGAGAGGAGCCGTACTTACCGGAGTATCTACATGCTTTAAAGGCAGCTGCGGAGTGGGAGGCTGGAGAGAGAGAAAGAGACAGAGAGGGAGAGGAAGAGAGAGAAAGAGAGGGAGAGAGCCAGACGGAGCACCGGGTTAGTCATTGTTTCTGTCACACCACCGTCAGGAGGAAGAAACAACAGAGGAGGAACAGAGAGGGGTCAGGGGAGAGGATCTACTGTATGCGGGTATGTCGTATTTGAGCAAATCGTGGATGTTGAAAAGAGAATTCCGAAGGCGCGTTGTGTAACTTTTCTGGGACAAGGACCGTCAAATGCTTGTCTGTGTGGGGATGTCACTGCTCAGCCTGGAATGTTCCACAGTATGACCTTAAACAACTCTACGTTACATTTACTCAATTACAGGTGGTTTTAAAGCTCAAAAATACCTAGAAAAACAAACATTCTGACACCATTTGATCTGTAACTTGGTCCGGTTTGGTCTCCATGGCGATAGAAAGGTTTAATGCCATAAAGTGGAGCATTCCAGACAAAGCAATTGCATCTTCACGGAGAAAAGCGTTGATGGACCCTCCACCAAAAAAGTTACACACTGCGCCTCATTATAACTAGAAAAGCACTCAGAGAGCGCAGACCTCCGCCAAGGACTACCCCCATTTTTTATATAAATTGCGATAAAATCAGTCTTCTGGATCAGATCCGGATCAGCCTTTGGAATATGAAAGAGGATCCCATTGTCCATCCCTGAGTCAGATTTCATGGGGTTTGGTCAATAATTAACCGAGATATTGAGAAACCAAATTTTTGGCCCCATTTACCACAATGTTAACTAAAATTTCAAAGTGATCCAGAATCCAGGATTTCTTACGGATCACCCCCAAAATGAAATCAGTTCTTCCTTTTCACATTTCCAACAAATCCTGAAAATTTCATCAAAATCGGTCCATAACTTTTTGAGTTATGTTGCTAACAGACAAACAAACAAACAAACAAACAGACAAACGCCGGCAAAAACATAACCTCCTTGGCAGAGGTAATAATAACATTTTTCACTAGTATTATCAGTTTGACTTAGTTTACTTTAGTTTACCTAGAGATTTACATCAGACGCCTTTCCTGATAAAATACTGATGAAGAAAATACTGTGACTAAGGTGAGGTGTCTTGCCCACTGGCTTATAAACAGCAGTACATGACCATGGGCCAGAATTGAACCATTTACTTTCCAGTTCATAGGTAGACACTTAAAGAACTACACCTCTCTTAGTCCATTTCAAAATGCACAAATTTAAACTCCAAAGTGAATTAGAAATCCCTCATATTATCTAGTCAATGTTGGTTAGGTTAAGAATATTAGGATGTATTCTTCGAAGTATTATTATATTAACAAGTATTCTTAGGATTAGCAAATTCAGAATAACACAGTTTATTAGGGTTACTATCCGTAACCTTCATCAATTTGTGAATGATTAAAACTGTGGAAAACCATACTAATATTTTTACTATTTCCATTGTTTATGAGTGGTGTTCCACAAGGGTCAACATTAGGACCCATTATAATTCTATTGTTTTACTGCATTTCACATGTGATGAGGCAGTTTCCAGATTAAAACTACCATCTGTGGTTTATTTTATGTGATTTTTTTTTTTTAACCAGTAGATGTCAGGCAGCAGCAATGTAGGTAGCAACTAGTGGCGAAATGTGAGAATACACCAGGGGCAAGTCAATCATTACTGTGTTTATGAAATTTTTCTATTAAATATATATATATATATATATATATATTTTTTTCAATATCCACTCACAATTTGCCAAAATATTCAATAACCCCAACATAACTTTCTGATTTTTGTGTTGTCGTCCTACTTTTCAATACATGACATTTCAAAAAGGGAGAAAAAGAATTCATTGATAACCAGTGGTGGAAGTAAAAGTACAGATAAAGGAGGAAAAAAATACTTAAGTAAAAGTAAAAGTATTAAAGAATCTCTCAAAGATTTTTTTTTACATCTAATAAAACTTCAAATGTAGTGATTTTGATTCGGATTTGAGCATAATTTTGTTAAACATAAACAACTTAATACTTTTTTCCTAGCGGTTTTTATTTGTTGTATATTTGTATTTGCTCAAACTACAAATGTGTTAAAAAAAATCAACATTCAGCAGCTCTCAAAAAAATACTTAAAAAGTAAAAAATACTTTTACTTTTCCTGTTCAAAAATATAGTGGAGTGGAAAGTACAGACACCTGTTCTCAAATGTAGTAAAAGTAAAACTAAAACGCATCCATTTTAAAATCTAAAGTAAAGTACAGATACTGAAAGTGTTTACTTAAGTACAGTACTTTACTACTTTTATCTCATTACCTTCCACCACTGTTGATACCACATTAATCATCCGCAAAAAGACCAAAGCTTTGGTGCCTTCAGTCGAGCGGAAGGGCACAAATAACCCGTGGAAGCTATAAGTTAGGAATGGTGTCTTAAAAGGTAGAATGAGCAAACAGAGGAGAGGAAGAGGGGAGCAGTAAAGGCCGTGACAGTGATGCATGTGGAGGAGCATCTCTGTAAACACATGGGGGACTGTTTATGAGCCCGGTCCAGAGCACCGAGAGGGACTGCGGAGAAGGAATGTGCCCTATTTGGTCACAGCTCGGATACTGGAGCCATAAAAACCAGTGTGGATATTATAGATTGTAAAGTGGTTTATAGTAATTACCATAATCACATAATTTGATCATATAAAAGTGCGATTTGATGGGAAAATCCTGAGTGAAAGTAGACAGGAGCATTACTATAAAAGCACTCATATTATGCTATTTTCTGATCTACTGTATGTTATAATGTTGTTTCCTTATCGCAAACATTCACATATGTTTGAGAAATCTTTTATCATTAGTCTTGCTACATCACCAAAGCTCAAATTATAATGAAGATCAGAAAATAGCGTAACACGAGCCCTAACTAACATAACTAACCAAGAAAAACCTGCATTCTATTCGATCACGTTGCACAGTAAGTAACCCAAGAGTCAGACAGAACAGACAGTGGCCTTGATGTGCGGTATTCCACAGGGGAAGCAGAGGAAGCGATGATGGTTCTGACCTTTGACCCCTGACCTCCTGACCCCCCCTTCCCTTCCGTCTGTCTGTGCGTGTCCCAGTGCCGGGAAGCGTTGAGGGGGATCGTAGGGGTCAAGCGGTCGTAAGAGCCACACGCGTGCAATGTGTCTACTCACCAGCTCATAGTTGGTGCTCGTCTGACACGCCGTGGTCACCTGGAAAACACAAGAGAAAAAGAAAATATATATGAAGTATATGTTGTTATTAATACTATGCAGAGATACTGAAATTTGAAGTTGTTTAAAGGACCCATGTTTACACTATTTTTATATATTCGTGTTAAGTTGTTTCCATCGCAAACAGACCTGGAGTTGTGTGGAGTTTTTTTGCTTCACGTGTTTATCGCACAAACCCTGCATATTTAGGGTTCTTCTCAAGCAGAAAACACAGGAACACAGGAAGTGCTCCACTGTGTTTTTAAACTCCATGCACTTTCAGTAGAACCTTTTGGATGATGTCAGATCTGGAATTTTCAGTCTCTACTGAACTAAAGCAGTTGAAAACTACTGCTTCATGACATCAGAAGGTGGAACAGAGCATCTTGAGCTGTGAAGATCTAGCCAGACTAATACGAAAACATTACTCAAACACGTGTGAATGAAACAAAACACAACTCCAGCTATGTTTTGGTAACAACATTATAACATGACTTAAAGCTCAGAAGAGTCCATTTTGCATAATATAGGATTGTTAAGAGTAATTACAGCTAAAATGCTTCAAAGTAAATGTGTGCGATACTTTTAAGAACCAAATATATATTGAGAATTTCAGAGTTCCTTTTTTGTATTTCATAATGCAGATGAGACTGTGAAACATTTTGAGATTAAAAATATTAAGTCTTAAACATGGAACTTTCTGGAGGTGGCATGATTCCGTGGAAAGACAAAACTAAATCCATAGTTCAAAACATTCTCCATGGAGAGATACAGGATTTATGCCATAATGTCGAATATTACAACCAAAGGAATGAGAGTTCCATGGAAACGAACAGCACTACGCCCTCCTCCAGGCCAAACAAGAGTCAGGTTTGTGGAGATGCAAGCCGGCTCACTGTAACAACACGTGTTTCTACACAAAAAAGCTTTAATTTTAGTCTATTTTATGTCTAAAAAGTTTCATAGTGTGGTGTTAAATCTCGATTACTACTTAATTATTACTTCTACTTATAGCAATAACAATATTACTTTTATTCATGGTTCAAACTACCAGTTCCACCAACACTACGACTGCTTCAAGTTTTGAGTAATACAACTTACTCTTACACAATTTTGTACCCAAAAGCGTGCTATAAATGAAATCCATTGTGATAAAGAAAACACACTGAGAAAGTACTGCCTACCCCAATCCAACTGTGTACTTATGTAACATTTATAACTGTCCGCCTCTTAAAATATGCCTGGGTATTTTCGGTACATGGGAAAAAACTCTGAAATGCTGAAAAGTCAAAATGAAAAACAGCTTTGAAGATGAACTCTTTACAGACTTCTATAGCTTCATCAAACGTTTTCAAAGTACTTTAACTCGTATTTAACAGGTCATGTGATAATGTAAGCTGTGGTGTTGGTCACATGTGATGATAGAGGGGGCACTAGGACCATGAGGTGTTCACTGACCTGCAATGACCCTGTCTCTCCACACTGTATGATATCCAGCGTGTCGGGTGAGGTTGGGGTCACTTTAAATGGTCTTTGTTAATGATGTATTATTATTAAAACTATTGGACCTGCTTGTTTACATGTTTTATGGTTTCATAATTTTGCTTACAAAGAAGAAAATGGCGTGTGTAACTTCCAGGTGGAGGGTCCGTTACCTGCTTGCCTTGCTATAGAAATTGTAAAATTTTTATACATGCTTTTCCACCTTCAAAACTTTGCATCAAGGAACCACTTACCCATTCACACACAGTCATACACCAGCGCATGCAGACACTAGGGGCAAGGTGGGTTGCCCCTAGTGTCTTTCTCAAGGACACAACAACAGCATTCATCCGTGGGAGCTGGAATTGCACCACCAACCTGTAGGTCAGTGGATCTGAGCGCTCAACCAACTTCAAACCTCCAAGCTTCTGATCAGTGGACAAACGCTCTTACCAACTGAGCTATTGTCGCCTATTCCATACTTTAGCTTTGGAATGCTCCACAGTATGGCATTAAACTTATCCATTTTGCATTTATTCATTTTCTTCTTATTATTTCTCCAAAATACTTTGAAAAACTTGAAAAACCATCCCAGATCTGACCTGAAACTTGGCTCGCTGGCATCACATTTGTGTCTTCATGGAGATAGATAAGCTTAATGCCATACTGTGAAACATTCCAAGCAATGGCAAAGGAGAAATTCAATTTGTCAACAGGACAAAAGTTTATTTGGTTGACTATGTTTTGCAGCTCATCCAAACTGCTTGGATGAGCTGCGAAATGAAACGTATTTGAACAAATAAACTTTTGTCCAGTTGATAAATTGAATTTCTCTTTGCCATGGATTCTACCTTCACGACTGAGGGATTTTACACACATTCCAAAAGCAAATAATAACATTCCACAGAGGTAAGCGAGTGGCGGGCCCTCCACCAGCAAAGTTACACGGTGCAACTTTAATGTAAAGTGTGGTCCCTGCAATTTTCTTTTCGTTTTTTCATTTTTTAAGATTCTGCAGAATTTCTTTAAAGATACCGTATATATCTTTGTGCAGGTGCCATGTCACTTCCATGGAAACAGAACATTAAAACCATACTTCGAAAAATTTTCCATAGAGACAGATAAATCATCAACAAATATATATATTTTTTTACCATACTGTGAAGGATTATAACCCAAGGAACGACATTTCCATGGAAACAAGCAGGAGGAGTCAGGTTGGTGGACGTTGAGCCCTTTCAGAGTAAGATGCATGTTTTTCTAGGTTTGTTCAGAGCAGTAAGTACAGCCAGTGGTGAGAAAAGTATTACATTGTGTTACGTAATCGTACAGATACCAGAGCAAAAAAATACTCACGTAAAAGTATCACATGAAAATTCTACTTGAGTAAAAGTAATTAAAGTACCTGTTTAAAATGTACTTAAAGAGTTTCTTATAATGCTTCAAATGTAGTGATTTTGATACAGATTTGTGCATCTTTCCCTCTTCAGCTTCCTCCACACTGGTCAGCACACTAACTGCACCTCTTAGCAACAGCACTTCCCCATAATATCCCACCTCTAAATTAGACTGTCTTTGATTTCCTGATGTTGCAACGGCCCCGTCTTAAAATAGCGTTTTTTCTGCGTCAGGGGCCAATTCTGCAAAACAAACTCGAGCTATCGGTGACAGCGCAGAGGCCCCTACGTGTCGCCGCCGGCATGAGTGATTAGCGCTAGCAAACAGGAGCGGCGTGAATGTTCTCGTATTTGGCTGTATTTTGAATTCAAAGCTGTATACGTGCTCGAATTTACAACAGTTCTCAGTGTTGATGGATCAGGGAGATGAGAGGGGGGCTATCAGCGGACTGCAGAGGCTGGCAGGAAGGAAGCAGTAATGAGTGGGATCTGGACAAACAAAAGACTGGGGGACTTTGTAATGTTATCAGCGGGCCTATCAGAATACAGTGTAATAGGCCTATGAGGCTGTCTGTGCATGATGATGTGCAAGGAGATGGCATCAGTCCACTGCTCGCTACAATGATACTGCGGTGAAGTGGAAATACTGGGGCCAGGGCTGGAGCCGTTGGGTTGTGACAAGTACTGCAGTTACTTTTGTGATACATGTTTCAAAAAGAGGATTCTGTTCGACACTTGAGAAGACTGAAGTGATAAATATACAAGAAACCCATGCATTTCACAATATGTTGGAATGTCTAAACTACACGTGCAACCAGATTTCTAAAGAATAAAAAGGATATATATATATATATATATATATATATATATATATATATATATATATATATATGTATTTTTGCATCATCTAAATAATTGCAGTCTTCGTGGTATGATGTTTGTGATAAATAATGATTTCTGGTGTGATTGTGTTATATTGTGCAGATCTAAATTTAAGCACTGAAAATGCTTTCCAGTACACATTTTTGATCCAGAATTGAGGAGTATGTGTCAGAAAGAACTGTGCCCTGGCCACTTTGTCTATTCGGTCTGAAAGGAGAGTCACAGGCAGGTGTTTCAACATATAGGCATATTAATCTGTCTCATTTCTCCCACAAAAAGAACTACAGTATCAAATCAAATGAATTTTCCTGAAGAGAGGAATGTGAATTGTCACAATTAAGAAATCACAAAAGTGTTATTTAGGCAGTCCAATGTCTACTAAAGAGCTCAGCAGTGACCGCCCACCTTGCGGTTCAAGACTTAAATTTTTTGCTTGCTTGGGGATCATCAGCTCTGTGGTAACTAATGAGCACAAGACCCACCATTTTATTTAAAAGTTATAAAAGTATTTCGCTTTTTTGACACCCTTAGCCAGGCTGGCGCCACCTAGTGCCTCCGCTCAATTTCATTTCTCTCCAGTGACTAGGTCAGGAATCAGAATACACTAGACGATTTGCAAGAACCCCGGAAGTTGTAGACCGTGCACCGACCAATCAGTGAAGAACTGTGAAACTGGCAATTACCTGGACACCCTGAGCGTTCCGGCGCATTACATACATCACGACCAAATAGCAGCAGTTGGCTAAATTAAAAAGTACCCGCCTACCGTTGAGCGAATGAAACCTAATGCTGGGAGGTCAGATGGTTTCCATGAAGTGAAACCGGCTAATGAATCAGGCTAGGTTAGCCTCTGCAATGCCTTTGAACTCTTAATTTAGATTTTTTTTTAAAAGTCTATGGGAAAAATAAATCAGAACCAGAGTGGGCGGTCACTGGTAAGCTCTAGTATAGAGAGAACCAGTCTTATTAGGCATAAAGGTTGCTACAGTGCAACAATAGTTAGAGCAGTGACTCTCCAACTTGAACGCTGGAGGATCGATACCAGCTTGGATCATGTTTTTCATTAGCAAGACATTTCCCCCACCTCTCCTAGTGGTGGTGATGGTCACAGATTATGCAAATTATGCAAATTAGCAGCCTCACTATCCTAGGGTCTGTCTCAGGGCAGTTTAGTTTAGCTGTTCAAATTTCAATTCATATTTCACATTTCACCCAAATTCTGCAAGGGCTGAATCTGAT